TTCATTCCGTTCACACATACGCACACGTACACACACACACAACACACACCAATACAACACAGACCACACCCAGTTTTAATGAACAGAGTTTTAAACCCTCTCGACCCGCTCTGTATTCGTTCTCATGGGGTTGCTGTCAGTTTATTCCTCAGGAAAACCCCTTCCTATGGTGTCATCCCTTTCCTCCTTCCTTTCCAGCTCTTTACTTTTTTCATTGGACACTTTACCCTCCAAAAAATTTCTTTCCCATCTCATCATTTTTTCATTAGTTTCCTCCATTTGTCTTCTTCAGTTCTGTCTTTCTCTCTCGCTCTCATCCTCCTCTTTCTTTTCTGCTTCTGGTTTTGACGGTCTCTTTCCCCTCCCATCCCTCCTCTTTGTCTCCTAAATCTACTTTACTTGTATAATCACAGCAGGGTCGAGGCAAGGTTCACAGCATGCACACAAGGTCCGGGGAAACCCCATGGGCTGCACCGAACACCCACACACCACAGGTCCATTCAGTAGTATGGGAGGTCCTCTCTCCATTTGTTCTTCTTTGTTTTCATTACTCTTCTTCTCTCTCTTCTCTCTTCTCTTCCTCCCACCAGCAAACCACACACACAACACCCCCGCACCACACACATTCCGAGCCTCTCAGTGATGTTTGAGTTTTTGTGTATGTTGTCTTCAAAAAATATGATCAGTTTGACGATTCCCCGCGCACACTGATTTGATTTATCTATAAGGAAAAGCGCATTACAACCCTTGCGGAACCAATGTGGCTGCAGATGTGTCGCTGTGGATGATGACTGTGTGTGTGTGTGTGTGTGTGGTGTGTGTGTGTAGCAGCTCAAAATGAATTGGATATTTTCGTCGTAATATGATGCCAGTTCATTTTATTTATCGTTGAGGACGTTCAAAATAATGTTGTGTTGTGTGTGTGGTGTGGTGTGTGTGTGTGTGTGTGTGGGGTGAGGAGAGGATAAGTTGTATGCCTGCCACGATATCTTAGGCTCTCCTACTTGTTGTGTCTTTAAGCTTTCCATCCACGCCATGAGTCAGCTGTTCTTGTTGGATTTTCCCACTGGCGTCGAAAAACAGAGGAAGATCTGTCAGCGTTGATCGTTCTAAAAACACAGCGCCTATGACAATAACCGCTCGCACACTTGGACACTTATCGTATACAATCTGGTGTAGGGAATACGTCTACACCAGCCTTCTTATTTCCTTA